CTAGATTTAGTGGGGAAATTTTTCCGCTACATTTAGCGGGGAATTTTCCCGCTAGATTTAGCTGGGAAATTTTTCCGCTAGATCTAGCGGGGAGTTTTTTCCGCTAAGCGGGGGAAATTTTTCCGCTAGATTTAGAGGGGACTATTTTCCGCTAGCTTTAGTGGGGAAATTTTTCCGCTACATTTAGCGGGGAATTTCCCCGCTAGATTTAGCTGGGAAATTTTTCCGCTAGATCTAGCGGGGAGTTTTTTCCGCTAAGCGGGGGAAATTTTTCCGCTAGATTTAGAGGGGACTATTTTCCGCTAGCTTTAGTGGGGAAATTTTTCCGCCACATTTAGCGGGGAATTCCCCGCTAGATTTAGCTGGGAAATTTTTCCGCTAGATCTAGCGGGGAGTTTTTTCCGCTAAATCTAGCGGGGAAAATTTTTCCACTAGATTTAGAGGGGAATATTTTCCGCTAGATTTAGCGGGAAAATTTTTCCGCTAGATTTAGCGGAGAAATTTTTCCGCTAAATCTAGCGGGGAAATTTTTCCGCTAGATTTAGCGGGGAAATTTACCCATAATGCACCGCGCGGTTACGCCGACGGCGACGCCGACGCCGCTCAAGCCGGAAACGGGCCCCTAAGAGCTGCGCTCTAAAAATGAAAGCCGTTTCCCACTCCTTGTGAGACCGAATTAAAGGGCAGCTCTTGAGGAGGAGGAGGTATATCCTTCCTCCCTCCTCATCCTGTCTGCTACTCCTCCCTCCAAACGGCGTCGCCTCACGAGGGTCACGCGACCTCACGGGGCTCATCTGACGTCACCGGGGTCACGTGACCTCACAAGGTCACGTGACCCCTATGAGGTCACAAGACAATGACGATGCAGATGCCGATGATGTCAGTGATGTCACTGGTGACGTCATCAGTGATGATGACGATGCAGATGCCATCATTAGTGATGTCACTGATGACGTCATCAGGGACAATGACATCACTGATGACTGCACTGATGACGTCATCAGTGACGTCACGCGTCCCATTATGCACTGCGCGGTGATGCCGCTCAAGCCGGAAACGGGCCCCTAAGAGCTGCGCTCTAAAAATGAAAGCCGTTTCCCACTCCTTGTGAGGCCGAATTAGAGGGCAGCTCTTGAGGAGGAGGAGGTATATCCTTCCTCCCTCCTCCTCATCCTGTCTGCTACTCCTCCCTCCAAACGGCGTCGCCTCACGAGGGTCACGTGACCTCACGGGGCTCATCTGACGTCACCGGGGTCACGTGACCTCACAAGGTCACGTGACCCCTATGAGGTCACAAGACAATGACGATGCAGATGATGTCAGTGATGTCACTGGTGACGTCATCAGTGATGATGACGATGCAGATGCCATCATTAGTGATGTCACTGATGACGTCATCAGGGACGATGACATCACTGATGACTGCACTGATGACGTCATCAGTGACGTCACGCGTCCCATTATGCACTGCGCGGTGATGCCGCTCAAGCCGGAAACGGGCGCCTAAGAGCTGCGCTTTAGAAAAGGGGACAGGAACACGTCTCAAACTCAGCTGAGCTTGTCCTGAGCTGAGTTTTCATCTGAGTTGAGTTTAAGATGTTGTCCTGAGTTGAGTTCGAGACTTTGTCCTGTCCCCTTCTTTTCTGTCTTCTTACACTTTTTCTTTCAAATTTCATTCCCAGAGCTGAGTTTGAGGCATTGTCCTGTCCCCTTTTTTCTGTCGTCTTACACTTTTTCTTTCAAATTTCATTCCCAGTCTCAGGATTTTGCATCATGTACAAACTAAACTTGCTATATGCCAGCGTCACTCGGGCGGCGTTCGATCGGATTACTACCAGCGTGCAAGGGGTGGGAAGGTAGTTTGGCAGGTCGCTTCAAGGTTTTTCTGAGCCGCAACCACCTGCCTGACGCTGGCCGTTTCGAACTGGATGAGTATCGTTAAACAGCGCGTTCGTCGGATCACTACTTCGTGATGCACGTTAATGACCACCCCGGGCTGGCGGTCACAATTACTGATCTACGGTCACACGTCACTCTGCACTGGCAAATATTCCAGCACATCCGGGACACTCGTCGTCTCATTTAATTGCCCGACCAACTTCGCGCAATCTAAATATCACACCCAAACTTTTCTAAACCTGATTTCGTGAAAACCAGTGAGGCGTGAAAACGTTATTTGAAACTGAAACTGTGGCGGAACATGAAAGCCGGACTTCAAACTTTGCAAACTTGGACTTGAAAGAAATTCAAAACCTTTGAAGTTTTTTTATTTTTCGAATTTAGCCCTAAAAGAGAAGCGAAACCTTCAAACTTTTTAAACTTTAAGTAAGAAGAAATTCGAAATCTTCGAATTTATCTAACTTTATATGTCTATAAGAATTCGAAACATTTGAATTTTTCGAATTTCAGATTTAAAGAAATTCGAAACATTTGAATCTCTCAATTTTCAAGTTAGGAAAGTTCGAAATATTCTAATTCCTCGAACCTCAAGTAAAAAAATATTCAAAATAATCTAACCCGAACTTTTAGAAACCGGGAAAGCTTCAAACTTTTCTAATTGACCTTTTTCAGAGTTCGTTGAAGCGACCGTGGCGCACCCTCGTGGAGATAATTGAAAACGTTTGCGGGCTCAGTCCATCCTCCCGTCACCCCGTTCGCTTCCTAGACGCGATCGTTTTGGTGCGTTCGTTGTGGAGTTTTTTTCGCTGTTTTTCGACTGTCGTTCTCTACAAATGGCTGATGACGATCCCGGAGGATCGAGTAAAGCAACCGCCTTTGACACTGCGGACTTTATCCATCTGTACGCTTTTCAAGACGGATAGACTGCCGATGCCGCATCGGTACCGGTTGTCAGCACAGCGTGCGTCGATCGGTACTTCGCGAAGGACTGCAGGCAAAAACGATGGGCCTTCAAAGAAGAAGCCTACGTCAAGAAGGTCATGGTGAATAACTTTGATGTCGACCACACCGTTCACCTTGTAAGGAGCACGTGTGCACCGTCTATGAAGCCGGGACATTACAGGCAACTGATATCGCTTTCCAAGAGCGCCGATATCGTTCAACCGTATTAATTGCGACTGCGTTGCAGTGTGAGTTTATTTCTTCGGTAAAACCCGTGGCGATGTAATAATGTGTCTTAAGGATAACAAGATGTGTCAATATTTGTAAGGCGTGAGCCCCATAGTCGCTATCCTTTCGGCAGATCTGTATCAAGATCCGTGTGTGCCAGTCCTTTGATCATATTTTATGCGTGACGCAATAAGTTATCTAAAAAAAAAAAAAAAAAACAAGATTTGTCGTCTTCGTCTTTTTTGTGGTACTTCAGCATGCAACTAAAAAGGGCCAAGCTATGTCATCGATCTACTTATCGAACTAGGTGACGTGTTGATATAAAATTCTGTAGTAGGACATTTTTTTATTCAATATTTTATTGAGTTTCAAGCGTAAATATATACTTTGCAGGTTGAGCGGAATATGCCAGCACATAGCTGGCCTGCTCTTTACACTATGCGACAGTGTAAAGATCTGTTTTCCGTGACAACGGCTTGGCGACCCGCCTCTTCGCTGCCCTGCTGTACCGTGCAACCAAACTCGGTGCGGAGGCAGGTCGGCAGGTGTCGGCTTCTATGTAAACAAGGAGGGAGCGAAGTCTGGGTGATTCTGGTCTCGTGAAGATACCCCTGCGTCGTAAAAATCAGGAACAAAAACCTTGCTATGAATGACTAGCCTGCACGGAGTATGACGGGTATATCCTGAGTTCAAACAAATATGAATAAACTAACCTCTAATGAAGTGGACGCTGCAAACACGCGAGTTCGCAGATGGCTGCCGAGGCGTCCCGTCGGAGTTCTGGCGTCGCAGTGCTTGAATCCATTTTTCTCTCTACTTGAGGTGCGCGGTAGCTTTCGGGAATCTAAAAAAGCTCACGTTCGGCGTGTTTTTCTTGCTGTTTGTACATCCAACAGCCGAGCAGCGGTGAGGCATCGCGACAGTGCCGGACAGACGCGCCTAGCAATGCGAGCGAAGCCAGGCAGCGTTCGAGGAGAGCCCGCAAAGATGGCGCCTTTCCCTTTCCTACTCTCTCCTCAAGTTCGGGCATGCGCACAAAATTCTCCGAAAAAGGTCAATTCAAAACCAAGATTTTTTAAAATTGCGAATTTTTCTAATTCAAACCTCTGTACGGTCGAAAATATCGAAACCTTTCGAATTCGAACCTAGGGTGGTTCGCGGCATCCCTATTTATATCTACTTACATATCGAGTAGATATAAACATAGTGACTCTGTTAGTGCTACGTTGCAACAACTTGGGCTAGCGTTGCTTTCTGATTGGCGTAAGAGTGCTAGATTGAAATAAATTTTCACGCTATACCACGTTTTTTTTTTCTAACATTGATCGTACCTAATGTTTAAAGCCTCGATTAACTTGTTCACTAATAGCCCCGGCAAAATGATGCAACAATTTCAAAGCAGAACTAATGTATTTCCTTGTTGGCTTTTTCCTAAAACGACAGAAGAGTGGAACCTTTTCCCAGAGGACGTTGTAAATTCGACTTCCCTCATAGAAATCGTGAACAGTCTGGGGCACTCGAAGTCTCGAACCATTAGTTATTTTTGAGACTACCATCGAACGACACTCGTTAGAAACTTGCGTGCTAGGATTTTGCACATGCGCAGCTTTTGTTAATTAACTGCTACAATTGATTTTGTACAATTTTCGGAGCTTTCTTCTTCGATAAATGTGTAACCACGCGAGTGATTTGTTTTGTAATTGAAACACCGATATTTGATCTTTGGTGTAATGACCTCCAAGAGGGGTTTGACAGTATCTTTAAATAAACAAATAAATAAGAGAAACCGTGCGGCTGGAGAGCGACCCACCGCAGAACGGGCATTTGCCGCATCGGCTTGTGTGCCACGACCGAGACGGTGGCGGACAAAAATCCGCTCCCGGGGATGCGGTGCACACGCCGGCGTTTCGGGTGCCCCGGGCAGGGCTCACCGTGAGTCGGCTCCAGGTGTACACGTCCGTGGTGAACTTCCAGAAGTCGCCGAGCACCGCGGTGGCGTTGAGGCCGCCAAAGACATACATGTCCGTGCCCAGCATGGCCGCCCCGTGGAACCAGCGCGGCGTCGGAGCCCGGTCGGCCTCCCGGGACACGTTCACCTGCGGGGAGGTTCATCTAAGAACTTCCGCCGGTTACTCGAGGCGGGTTCAGAGTCCTGGGGGCCTAGAACCTTCTACCTCCTTCCTTCTAGAACTATACATTCTGAGCGTGAACAAGCTACGAGGCTCTCCAACGTTCTGCAAGCTTCTGCTTACATAAAAAAGAAAACGAGGTTTGAACCCCGGCCATCTGCGTGGGAGCCAAGTGCTCTGCCTACTTGGCCAGCTGCGCAGGCGGCAATATCATCCAGTGTAGGTTGGCGCCCCCGACGACGTGATCGCGGCGTCCTTTCATATTTCTTCCATCAACAAAGGCTGTTGTTTCGGGTGGTTTTGAGGCATTGTGGTTGTTCCCGTCGACGTTTGAAGAACCCGTTCGCACGGTTCGCACTAAGCTGCGACTGACAGAGAAGTCTTTTTCCAGCTATCATTCCTTGCTCGTTCGATGGCTCATCAACTGCGGCCGAGGCCATACTCATTCCATACTAATTGCCAAACAAAGTACACAAGCAATGGTAGCCATCTTGTCCGGTAGTTGAGTTGTTGTACTCTAGGGTGATGCACTGTTCTTATAGCTTTTTCTTTTTTTATTTATCTAACATCTATAAATATTTTGAAAAAAAAAACAACATTGTCGAGATAAGCTTCGCCTAATTTTATTACGCAAGAACTACATAATGTACATCGCTAAAAAAGTAAACACCACTTGCTTGGCAAAAAAAAAAAACTTAACTACTCTTTATGCCAAATGGAACCAGCCGATACAGAACAGATAATAAATTCATCGTGCGGAAATTTTAATGAATAAACATTCCGAGACATTTCAGAATGTTCTGGCCATGCACGGTGCACAGATTATATATCTACCTTACGTACCCAAATATTCGGAGTACGTCCGAATATTCCTAGTTCTCTCAAATATGCAATTTTCAAATCAAATAATAGCTTTCGAATAAGGAAAGTATTCGATTCGTATTTGAAATTCCGAAATTCGCACACCCCTGGTGTTTTCTTATGGCAGTCAAATGTAGTCTTGCGTATGCTTGCTCGTTTTGGTGACAATAGTTAAAAGAGTAGGATTATGTAAATATTTGAATTTTCAAATAATAAACTATTCAATATTCTAATGAATTGCGATGTCCCTATTTCTGGAAGTATTGATTGAAATGGACTAGCCTCATGGAGCGTGCATCGAGCACCGGTGCACTGCGGAGAAGCCGTAGCGCTCGCTTGCGCGGGCCTCGTTTGCGCTCAATGGGGCTCACTCTCAACACTTGGAAAAGTACAAATACTGCAGTCACATGCTCAGGAGGAAAGCCCCCTTTCAAAGCGAGATGGGGCCTGCTTGCACTTGGTAAGCACAAAAAATGCAAACTTTAGGAATGTTAATAACTACGAAAAATTAAACGCAGCACACTAACGACCAAGACAAAAAGTAATAGAAAAACACGGGACAAGCGACGTGTCCTTCTATTTGTGTCTTTGTCGTTTGCGTGCCGTGTTCCATATTTAGAAGTGTGCACCAACTAGCTTGCATCGCCACCCCGATCAATATCTACATTTCGGTAAAATTTTCAAAATTAAACTGGGCTCTTATATGCACGATCGCGTTAGGGAGAAGTGCCCCGACAACCTAATCTTTTTATTAGTGGCCGTTTCTATTTGTTTTTATTAATCTGAGATTGAAGAAAGGATACTGGCAAGATTTATAAACCCCTTCAATTAGCTATAGTAGGCCATTTCTACGGATTTAATTTTGTCAAATGTGTCGTTTACTTGCCATCCGAATGTAGGCATTAGACTTTCTTATGCCACAGTCCATAAGCATACCGAAATATCCCGAGTCATGCCCCCCCCCCCCAGCCGCCTCAAATTCATTAAAAAAAAAGCGGGGTGGGCCGGCTCTCAGTGGGTGAGCAAAAAACTTAAAAAAAGTTAAAAAACGCCAATTTTTTTTTAATTTATATAGCGCGGCTGTGCAGGAGATACATTTAACTCAAAACTTTTATTAGTTTTATTGTTTTATACAAGAAATGCTTACGAAAGAATGTTTTACTATCGCAAAGTCCATTGCTCGTATATGCAGACTAAAAACTGCATACAGCGCGAAAGCTTGTTTTGTGAAAGCATATGTTTCTAAAACAGCTATATTAAAATACCGGGCAAGCGTCCACTCAAAACTGACAAATAATTGCGGGGGAATGAAGTCTGGCCATCAATTTTACATATAAATGTCCCACGCATATTTCCTCAGATCTTGCAAATTTGGGAAAGGGCGCTTAATGTGGACTGGGCGGATGCGCGGAATTCTACGGTATGCTCTTTTTGTTAATGAAAAAAAAGAAGTCAACGAGAAAATAGAAAAAGCCAGCAGGCACCACCAGTGAGCGAGCAAATGGGCGCAGGATGTGACGAAAAGTGATGCTGGGGAAGCGGGAAAGCCAGCGATTGCGTTGGCAAATTCATCGGGCGCCTTGTCAATTGCAAGCTCTTGCACCACTTTCTTGTTTGCAGCGATGGAAGCAGCATTTCACCTTTTGTAGGTTCTGTAGCGGGCAAAGCATTCGTTTGGAGCAGGCACGCTTTTGGAGCAGACATCCGTTAGCACATCACTTGAGAAGATTGCATCTGCACGAGTTCACTGATGGCAGTGATCGAGGGTTCCTCTTGGATAGATATTACTTATTATCGTTTGTGATAAGAGATAGGCCATAAAAGGAACACAGTCTTCTTAAATAAGGCTCTGAGCAGCTTTCATTTACAATGGGTATTAAAAGTGGTTGAAAAGGGAATCACTGCACGAAGTAGGGATAAATCCTCTTTCCCCTCCCCATTTTACGCTCGATACTTTGTTTAGCCCGTAAATATAACTTCCGTAAAATGACAGCAAGAACCAGCGTATCCGCTAATGCATCTAGCAATAAAATTGCGTCCCGTAAGTTTAATGAACCTATCGAACTCGAGACTCTAATATCGTAAACCGCAAAAATCACCACCCAAAAATATTATAAAAGCCAACACTTGAAAGGTGACATTGCTCTTTACGGCCTAGGAACCAGAGGTACGTCAAAGTTTGCGGGCCTTTCAATTAACGGCTACACGGGGATTACCATGATAACCGCGTTTATTCACATATATACAGTGTAGACCGCATATAACGTATGTCGCGGGAGTCGCGAAAATCCGCACTATAAGCGGTACCGCGCTATAACCAAATCATCAATTTTTCAGGCCAAAATACATGCCATGAGACAACTTACCTTCGGAAAAGAATTTATTTTATGTTAGATGAAAAATAAAGCTTAGTTTGAGGAAAGTCGTTATTTCACCAGACTAGTACACTTCTCTCTCAAGTGTGTCACACATTTTGAAAGAAATGAGCGACTTTTGCCCGGCGCAGCCTTTTAACGGCGTTGCGGGTTGCAGACTGACGTTGCGAGCGTTCACGATTGCTAACCTCAATCACTTTTCTCCGGAGAGGAAAACGCGTGAAAATTCGCATCCTTTCTACAGTACGCGCCAGTAATACCTTCAACTTGAGCACAGGCATGAAATGCTCCAAATAAGAAATCCGGGCGATGTTCGAGGACACAAATGCTTAGAAATCACCACTGTAGTCGAAGTAAACAAACACGACGACACGGGCGTTTCTGCCGTCTTAAGAGCGCCGCCACGACATCGCCGCACGAATAGGTGGATCTTCCCTTCTAGTATGGGCTGGGTTATCATAGCGACACACAACGAAAATTCACAGTCAAGGATAGCGCTTTTACGCGGAACGATGAGCTTCTACGTCGACGATCACAGCCAACGCCATGTTTGCGGATAGAAGCAGCCGGCCCGCGACCGGCATGCAACGCGCGCGAACACTTCTCCTCGACCTGCGATTGGTCTGTCGTTGCGATTGTTTCCAATGCACAGAGCGGAGGGACGCACGCACGTGAACGACACGTGCATGCATCTCTCGGTCGCTATGGCAACTGAAGCCTCTCTCTTCGCTTCTTCCCGCTTCTTCGAGCAGCCTCCTTGCCCCGCGAGTGCCGCTTGCGGCTAGCACCGTTATCTAGTGCCGCACAGGGAAGCGTGCTCGCTGCGTCAGTTGGTCGCCGCGGTCGGCAGGCTGTTCCAGAAATTGCACTGTAACCGGTATTTCCCTTCGCGCGCCTGCATTTTAAGCGGTATGTAATTACATGGAGTTGTATGGGAGGCGAACCGGTGGTTTAAAAAAAGCCGCGCTATGCCCGGTCCTGCACTATAAGCGGTTACGTTGTAAGTGGTCTATACTGTATATACAACGGTGTTTTCTTCTCTCCCTCTGAGCTCTTCTCTAATTAGAGTTTAACTTGGAATTAAAAAAGAGGTGGACCCGTAATCCTCCCGAGCCTAATTGGGTGCCTGTGGTGCAGAGCCAGGGGCTGCCCCGGGTCAGCCGCTGCTCCTAGCCCTCCGGTGCAAAACGGTGAAGCTCGACGCGTGCAGGCTGATGAGAGGCGGTCAGGGTGCCACGCTCCTCTGCAGCCACGGAGCAAAGTCGCCTGGCAGACATGATAAACATTTGGAAAAAAACCCGAGACTGGGACAATAAGGGAAGGACAAACACAAAGTCTCAAACACAGCTGAATTTTCTTTGACAACGAAGGCTGCTTACCGTATTTACTCGCAGAATGAACGCACTTTTTTTTTCCGAAAAATTGATGCAAAGTTGAGGGGGGCATTCATTACGTGAAGTAACATTTTTTGCGTCCGTATTTACTCGCATAATGAACGGACCTTTTATCCTGAAAAATAGAAGTAACTTCTTATCCCTTTGTGTGCGGCGCCCGACCCCGTAACCAAACTAAGCTCTGCAAAAAAAAACAAAAAAACTGTTTCTTTTAGTTTCTTGGGGTTTTTTTTGCCGCCTTTCGCAAGCTGTTTTGTTTGCTAGGCGTTGCTTAGGCGAGGGCTCTCCGTTTATCTTTCTGATCTCCTTGCGCGCGACGCACGACCCCCCCGTAACC